CTATTCATTTCTGTAAAGCACTTTAATGTCCTTCTGAAAGCATTAGAAAAGTGCCTGAAACCAGGAGTATACCACCTTGAAATTAAGAGCCTAAAGTCAGAGTATTCTGTTTCAAAAAAACTGAGAACACCTTGCAATATGGGCCTTCCATTTTTTATGGGTTATATTGTTTCTTTATTTTTTAATTTAAAAACAAAAAGTGGCAAAGGCACGCAGTATAAAAATATAGTGTCACTCAAAACAGAGTAAGGGAAGCACATTTCAGAAACACTGCAGATGCCAGCTTTATCACTTGTCAGTCATGGAAGTTAAGACTTGGAGAGACTTATTAGATCATTCCTCCCATCTTCCCATCATTATGGGATGGGCTAGTCTCAAATTACTAAGAAATTAGGTTATTGTGACAATATATGCAGACATCTACACTACTAAGCTTCAGCACTCGAGTGACTCACGTTTATTTTTGGCAGAAGCAACAAGGAAGGAGTGAGCTTTTCCTCTTCTACTCTTCTTTGAGCAGCCAAAGAATTACCTACCCTTTAACACTTTAAAAAGGCCCTAAACTAGTAAAAAGTCAGTATGCTACCTACAGTTCAAAAGTTATCATTCATAAGCAGGAAGAGCTCCAGGAGCCTGCAAAGGAAAGCCAAACATGGGTTTTGTTCAAGTTGTTTGTCGTTATTCAGTTGGCTGGCCAGGCCTTGAATACTGTTAGGAATAAGCTTCTCAGCTTACAGATTCCCAAGACAAATTCTTTAACATACTTTGGATGTGACATTATTCAAAAAAGTGTTTATGTTGCATTTACTGCTACAGAATTTAAGGAAACCTTTGCAACAAAGAACAAGTTTTACATGCTAAAATGATGTTCTAAAGGCATTTTGCAGTAAAAGAGAAACCTAGCTTCTTATACAGTTCTCTTTATAACCCAGCCCCATCACAGGCCAAGCATCAAATATTACCGCTTCATTACAGACCCCTGCAGATTTGACATGAAGCTCATCCTCACATATCTCTTCTTCCATCTCTGTAGCAAACACAAGATGAAGACAAGTGCAGAGTTGCTGAAAAACAGACTATTCTATCATTTTCAAGTCAACAGGATAGCATGGAGAGAGCTACCAAGAAGCTCACTTCATTAACAGCTTGATACACTACTGACAAAACGTTATCAGAGATGTTAGACTAGAATCAACAGAATAATTCGTGTTCACACATGACTTCAACAGCATCAGCAACAGGTATATGAACTACAGCCTACAATGACAGAAGTTGCAAGACTGTCTTAGGCAAGAGTATTATTTGTTAAGACAAAAGGATGTTACAAAATGATGACCTTCTATTCCTTATTCCACAAAAATGACACTTACTCATAAGACTGGTGCTATTTTTATACTGCGAAAGCAAGACGAGGCATATGCACCCCCTTTCTAGAAAAGGCCTTCCCCTTTCTAACAAAGAAAAAAATAAACCAAGCATACAGTTCTGAAGCTTTTCGGTGGTCCACGTATCTGTACTTGTCGGCCAATATGATCAGTAGTTTTAACCACCGTTTTTAAAATACAAATCAGGCAAAAAAAAAAAAGTTACACCACTAATTTTGAATGCAAGGTACTTACACTGAGAAAGTGACATCTTATGAGGTACCTTTTCAGTAATGCAGTTTCAAGAGTACATCCCTTTAAGCATAGGATTTAAGGCAGACTTATATGACTACACGAGGGAGGGTAGCCAATTTTAAGCAGCTCAATTTGCAGCGAGTACCAAGCCACCATCTGAGCGGCAGACGTATTCGAAGACGCGCATTAAACACGACTGCTCCTTCTCCTCTGCCCCCGCTCCACCCAACCAACTCCCCCCGAAGTGGCCGGGTACACACACTAGCACACCAGAGCTAAAACAACAACAGAACGGTTAAACCACACCTCTGCCAACACAGCCTTCCCGGCTTTTTAAAGCAGGGGCTGTCTCTGCCGCAGCACCTACAACGACCAGACCTCGGCCACCCCGTCAGCCGCCGCCGGGGGCCAC